ATTTTAAAGGGAAATAACAGTAACATCTACCTACAAGGACAGTGGTGGGGATTAAATAAGTATGTCTGAAGAGCTTGCAACATTTACAGGTGTCACCCACCCTGCCCAGGCTCCCTCTACTGCTGCAGTACTGTTACACATGCCATTTTGTCCGGCTATAGGGGTTCACCCCTCCTAATCCTACACTACCCTTGTAAACTCCTCTACGCATCCTTCAACTCTCAGTTGGAATATCACTTCCTCAGGGAACTCTCCCCCAGATCTGCAATGCAGGTCAGCTTATGTTGTTGTAAGCTCTCATAAAAACACGTTCCTTTCCTTTAGAATACTTACCTCCGTTATACAGGGTGGGACACAAGTAGGTTTACAGTTGTTCATATGGAAAATAATATAATAATAAATAATACAGGAATAAACTGTTTTGCAGGCTCACAACTGTAAACTTACTTTTGTCCCACCCTGTGTACATTCATTTCTATGATTATTTTATCTGTCTCCTCCCACTACAATATAAATTCTGATATTCACTCATCAGGGCACCCCAGTGGCCAGTGCAGAGCCTGACAGAAATAAGGCACATGTAAATACGCAGCTATGGTTGGAATGCTCGTGTCCTCCCAAATTCATGTGGTGTAATCGTAATCCCCAAGGATGATAGTATTAGGAGATGGGGCCTGTGGGAGATACTTAAGTCATGAAGGAGGCGCCTACATGATGGGATCGGTGCCTTAGAAAAGAGGCTCCAGAGAGATCCTTCACCACTTCCAGCATGTGAGAACACAGTCAGAAGGTGCTGGCTATGAACCAGGAAGAGGGCCCACCAAGATTTCAGAACTATGAGAAATAAACTTGTTTTTTATAAGCTACCCAGTTAGTGGTATGTTGTTATAGCAGCCTGAATGGACTCAGACATATGAATCAGATGAAGGAATGAATCAGATATGGGGGTAGGGATGATTCCCCGGTTTTAGTTGGGGTGACTGGGTGATGCCATCTCTCAAAACCACTACAGGAAGAGAAGCAGGGCCGGTGGTGAAGATAAGGAGTGCAGCATGGGCAGGTTGAGTTTGAGGCGTGCTTGGGACGCTCAGGTGGAGGTGTTGAATAACAATATGAAGCTGGATTTCTTAAGTCTGGGCTGCAGATAGGAATGTGGTGGTCATCACTGTACAGACTGCTGGTTAAACTGCATAAGGTCATAATACCATGCAGGGAGTAGCAAACCAAAGGTGAGACCAGAAAAGAATTCTGGGGAAATCAACATCTCAAAAAATAGAGGAAAAAGAACTGAAGAAGACAGGAAAACATGGTCAGTAAGGTAGGTAAGCCAAAAGAAGGAGAGATTTTGAAAGCCCTGAGAACAGAATCTTATCCAAGTAACTACTTGTATTATTATGTATATAATATAGATCCTTAAATCTATTGTTTTTTTCTCCTAAAATATATTTTTATAAGAGAAACTTTATATTATCAATAAAATCCTGGATTCACTTCACTGGGTATCTATTTTAATATATGTTAAATACATAACTATTTCTTAAAATGTTTATTTCTGTAACACCTGAAATCACTTCACAAGGTGTTAAAAGCACAATTATAATAGAAACCATAAAATTTTAGTGGCCCAAATGTAAATAACTTGAGAGATTTTCTCTAGTAGGCCGAGACTGGACACTGGGATTGGACACTAGTCCTAGTGGAAGGGGCAAGGGAGTGAGACATTTTCAGGAACTGGTGACAGAAAAGTCCCAGTGATTGGTCATAGTGGTATAAGCTGATTGGGAAAAGGAAGAGGCTGAAAGGAGTAGGAATTTCAGTCAAAGACAGAAACATAGCGATGTATGATCTCAGACAGAGGAGTTTTAGGGGAAGGAGGAAAGCAAGGTCCAGATGGCTTAAGAGACGGGGATGTAGAAGTCACCTAATTAAGAAACCCAAACCTTCAGAATCTTGGGGTGGAATAAGTAGTCCTCACTCGATATCTTTCAGGATGCTGACTAGCACTGTAATGGAAAATCTGAGAGCCCATGAGCCAAAGACATCTAGGAGTGTGGGCCAAGTGACATAGAGGTTAGGTAGTACAGGTGATGAAAAAGGGAGGCCAAGAGAATGGTAAAGTAGAAGACTTTTCACATAAGGTAGAGATAAAATAATGGTCTGGAAGAGACAGTGGGGAGTTGGGTAGCATATAGGGCTGAGCGGAAAGAGCAGTCTCTATTAGAGGGAGCTTCAGGCAAGAGATAGAGGACTGTGTTTGTGAAGAGTTGGTGGTGGGTCTAGGGAGTTTATAAAAACATTATTTGCAGGGGGCCAAAAGCAAAGGGTTGGAAAGAAAAGAAACAGAAATTAAGAGCCAGGCTGGAGGAAGAAAAGAGCAGTGTGGACAAAGATGGTAGTACAGAAGGAATGAAGGAACAAGGGAGGAATGGGGTTTCCACTAAGCACTACTCAGCCACCTCCAAACCACAGGAAGAAGCAGGAATGTGCCTTTTAGGAAAACAGAGTCCCTGGAACAAAAGACATCTATAGGAGGGCTGTCTTGCTTTGGATAAAATCCAAGATAGTTATTTCTTGAAAATTACTAAAGACTTCTAGCGAAGAGAAGCCCCAAACCCTCAGTTTTTTTTTCATTGATAGGGAACAATCTTTCAATTGCTCACTGCAGATACACTTCCCCTCTGCAAAACCTAGGACCAAGGCTCCAACTGAAGGTCAAATCAGCCTGAGGAGATCCAGATTATTCTCTAAATGCTCATAATTTTTCCCAAGTGAACAGCAGAGTGCAGCAAAGAGCCATAAAGGAAGCTGAGCCCACACAAGAGCCCAGAAATGGTGAAGGGAAAGTGAACTAGACTTCGGAAATCACATCATACTCCCAGGGTATCCTCTGTCACACTTATAATGTGATATAATTATTCTCTCATAGATGAGAAGGGGACACTCCCAGCCTGATGTGGTTAGGAGACAGACATCTGTCTTTTAGGACAGCATGGTGTGTGGGAAATCAGACTGGTTTAGGAGGGAATCTAGGCCTTTGAATCTGGGCTGTGGGCAAGGTACCTAACATTTCTGAGTCTTTTCTCCTTTGTAAAAGGAAGATTTTTTTCCCACCAGATTAGTTGTGATGAGAAAATAGGTGAAACATGCCTAGCACAGTATGTCACACAAAGTAAACATTCAATAAAAAGTAGGTATTGATATTTACTGTGTTTATTATTATTTTTATCATTATTATAGCTTCTTCTCGGGGTCAGGTACCAGAGGAAGGGGGGGGATCACAAATAGGAAATAAATTAGAATTAAGACTTGGAATTCCCACTTCCTCAGCTCAGTTCCCCTAAACAGTGCAGCAATAGACCCAATAGAAGGCCACAATGGAATCAGCCACTTCTAGAGGGTGCTGCTTCCCAGACTGTGGTTTGTTTGTTGGGGTGGTAGGGAGAAGGTAGAATTACTCCTTGGTATTTTCCATGTCAGACCAGTGTAGCTCAGCTACCTGACAGATTTTTATAGGCACCTCATAGCACAAACAGGTTTAACTAATAGCCATGCACACCCCTCAGAACTTGCATCACACCTCTCAGAAACTAGCAACAATGAGTGGTGGGGGTCTGGAGCTCTGGGACAGCTGCTTGCCTGGTGCCCTTCAGAACGCATCTATCCCAAAACATTTATTATTAGGAAGTTACTTCCTGTGCCACAGGGGACAGACAAGAGGAATGGCAGAGGTGTGCCCACTATTGGAACTTCAAACTTCAGACTTCACTTAAAGCCCAGAGAGGATACTAGTGTTTGAAGCAAAGTAAAAGTTAAGGTCTTTTTTACAGTGTGAGACTCCAAGTGGCTGCACAGGGTAAAAACAGTTTTGAAGAATATTTAGATATCGCCTAAGAATCCTAATTGATAGAAACCAGGGAAAGGGGGCAAATCTCTGGATTGGTAGTAGCCATCATAGACAGTAATAATGCCCATCCTCCAACATGTCCCTGGAGTGACTGGTCCTTGAGACTATCTCATGCCAGAAATACTAAGATTTGCCAGAATTTCTGAGTTAGAGGAAGTACACTTTCAAACCATCTTCCACTTAACTGAAGGGCCCATGTGGCCTCGTGCCATTTTTTATGCAATAGAAATGAAACCCTTGCTGCCTAGGGTAAGGTAGGGAGGGTTGATCTCGTTAAAAAAACAAACAAACAAACAAAAACCTCCCAGCAACCTAGATAAAGAGGCCAGCGGCCAAGACTAGAAGAGGATGTCTTCCAGGTACAGGCCTTACAGAATGGTAAGAACACAGAAGGAGCTGCTCTCACACTTAGTCTAAAAGGAACAGGAACTACGCTTTCCCTTTGACTATTACACAATAGAGGGAGAGGATAATTTAAGGGACATTGTAAGGTCACAAATCAGCTTCCATTCTAGGCCACCTCTCCCAGGTTGGAGGTCTCACCCTCATGACCAAAAGAAGGTTTTCAAGGGTTTATTTTACAAGAAGGTCACTACTTTTACCTGCCCCTTCCCTCAATCTCATAATCCCACAGTTCCTGGACTTCTTGCCTCTTTCAGTATTCTTTGTTTCTGAGAGGATGCATATAATGAGCAAGGGCACAGGGTCTGTCTCTTCAGAGAAATGAGTGCTTCCTTCTCTCCTTCCACCCTATACCACACACCGAGGCCAGGGGAAGGCACAAGCAAAAGCAAGGACAGAGTGTGGGATGTTCCATGCAAACCTAAACAGCCACAAGGAGCCCAAGGCCGAGACCATGGGACAGGCAGTCAGTAGCATCAAGCTCACCCACAAAGGATGGTTCTTAAAAGCCCCCAGACTCTTTGCAGGCCTTGTCCATGCCCATTTCCCACTGCCTGGCATAAAACATGCTGCAGAAACCCACCCAGGCAGCAGCTCAAGATGCTGGTAGGCACCAAAGAGGTTGTAACTCCCCAAAACAGAAGGGAATATCTAGGTGTTGGGGTGGCACAGGGGTATGGTTTGTTGGTCTTACCTCCTTTCCAAAGAAGGTAGATGGGCACCACGTAGAGCATAACATGCTGAATGTAGTAAATCTCCAATTCAAAAGGGAGCTGTAAGAACAGGAGAAAGAGGTGTTTCAGAGAAGAAAGCACACATTTCAACAGATTCTGAACTTGAACACTCTTGCTCTTTACAACCCACATCATAGCAACCCCATGTATTTCACCAGTTCACCTCCCTTCACAATAAAAAAAAAAAAAAAAAAAGACTAAAATAAATATACGTATGATCTAGGCTGGCATCTTTCAAAGTGTATTTTACAGAAATGTTAATTGAAAAATGTTCCACTAAGAAAGCTGGTTAGTGCACGCTTCGGCGGCACATATACTAAAATTGGAACAATACAGAGAAGATTACCATGGCCCCTGCACAAAAATGACATACAAATTTGTGAAGCATTCTATATTTTTTCTAAATGAAGCACTAGACCAAATGAATTTAATAGATATCTACAGAGAATTATGCCCCAAAACTACAGAATTCACATTCTTCTCAAGTGCACATGGGACATTCTCAAAGACAGACCACATGATAGGACACAAACTAAGTCTCTACAGGTTCAAGAAGAGTGAAATCATATTAAGCATCTGCTCAGATCACAATGGCATGAAACTAGAAATCAATTGCAACAAGAACATGCAAAGACATTTGAACACATGGAGGCTACATAGCATGCTATTAAACAATGAATGGGTTACCGAGGAGATCAAGGAAGAAATTAAAAACTTCCTGGAAACCAATGAAAATGAACAGACTACAACACAAAATCTATGGGATGCAGCGAAAACAGTTCTGAGAGGGAAGTTCATAGCACTACAGGCCTACCTCAAGAAACAAGAAAAATTTCCAACAGACTATCTAACCTCACAACTTAAAGAACTAGAAAGCAAACAAAAATAAAATGCCAGAGCAAGTAGAAGGAAACAAAGTAAAGATCAAAGCAGAAATAAATGATATAGAGTCCAAAATACAATTCAAAGGATCAATGAAACAAAAAGCTGGTTCTTCGAAAAGATAAACAAGATTGGTGGACCCTTAGCTAGACTCACCAAGACACAAAGAGACAGAACCCAAATACACAAAATCAGAAATGAAAAAAGAGAAGTAACAACTGGCACCACAGAAATACAAAGGATCGTTAACAAATACTATGAACAATTATAAGGAAACAAATTCGACAATCTAAGCAAAATGAACAAATTTCTAGAAACTATAGTCGCCCAAAATAGAACCAACCAGAAAGAGATAGAAAACATGAACAGACCAATAACAACTAAGGAAATTGAAGATGTAATCCAGACTCCCACAACAAACAAAAGTCCATGCCCAGATGGCTTCACAGGGGAATTTTAACAAACATTCAAAGAAGAACTAACACCCATTCTCCTCAAACTATTTTTAAAAAATCAAGAAGAAGAAAGACTTCCAAACTCGTTTTATGAGGCCAGCATAATTCTAATTCCAAAACCAGAAAAAGGCACTACACAGAAAGAAAACTATACTTCAATATTCCTGATGAACATAGATGCCAACATTCTTTCTTTTTTTTTTTTTTTATCCTCACCCGAGGCCATTTTTCCATCCTTTGTTCAGATAAGGTGTGGGGGGAGAGAAAGGAAGAGAGACAGATAGAGAAACATTGACGAGAAAGGGACATATCGAGTGGCTGCCACATGCATGACCAACCAGGGCCGGGAACAAACTGCAACTGAGGTATACACCCGTAGCGGGAACCGGACCCGGGTCTCTCTAGACCACAGGCCGACACTCTTACCGCTGAGCCAAACTGGTCAGGGCGATGTCAACGTTCTTAACAAAATACTAGCAAATGGGATCCAGCAATATATCAAAAAAATTATTCACCATGACCAAGTGGGATTCATCCCAGGGATACAAGGCTGATACAATATTCTCAAATCAATGAATGTGATATACCACATAAACAAAATGAAAGATAAAAACCACATGATCCTATCAATAGATACCAAAATAGCATCCGACAAAATCCAGCACCCATTTCTGATAAAGAACGCTCTGCAATGTGGGAATAGAGGGATCATATCTTGACATAATAGAGGCCATATATGAAAAACCTACAGCCAACATCATACTCAATGGGCAAAAACTAAAAGCATTTCCCTTAAGAACAGGAACAAGACAGGGATGCCCACTTTTGCCAGTCTTATTTATCATAGTACTGGAAGTCTTAGCCACAGCAAGGAGACATGAAGAAAAAATAAAAGTGATCCAAACTGGAAAGGAGGTAATGAAACTGTCATTATTCGCAGATGACATAATATTATACATAGAAAACACTAAAGACTCTATCAAAAATCTACTAGACTTAATAAATAAATTTGGCAAAGTAGCAAGACACAAAATTAACGTCAAGAAATTGATGGTATTCTTATACACCTATGATGAACTCGCAGAAAGAGAAACTAAAAAAATAATCCCATTTACTATCATGGCAAGAAAATTAAGATACTTAGGAACAAACTTAACCAAAGAAGTAAAGGACCTATTCACAGAAACCTACAGAACATTGAAAAAAGAAATAGAGGAAGATAGAAAAAAGTGGATTGATTGAAAGAATTAACATAATTAAAATGTCCATATTACCCAAAGTAATCTATATATTCAATGCAATCCCCATCAAAATACCAACAACATATTTTACAGAACTAGAACAAATACTTCAAAAATTGATATGGAACCAAAAAAGACCCTGAATAGCCACAGTAATCTTGAAAAAGAAAAACAAAGTATATGAGATCACAAAACAAAATATCAGGTTATACTACAAAGCTACTGTAATCAAAACAGCCTGGTACTGGCACAAGAACTGGCATATAGACCAATGGAATAAAACAGAGACTCCGGAAACTGACCCAACATATTATGCTCAACTAATATTTGACAAAGTTGGTAAAAGCATACAATGGAGTAAAGACAGCCTCTTTAATACGTGATGATGGGAAAATTGGACAGCTACACCCCCCAAAAATGAAACTAGACCATCAACTTATACCATACACAAGAATAAACGCAAAACGGTTAAAAGACTTAAATGTGACTCGTGAATCCATGCAAATCCTAGAGGAAAATGTAGGCAACAAAGTATCAGACATCATACGCAGCAGAATTTTCACTGATACATCACCTAAGACAACAGAAACAAAGGAGAAAATGAACACATGGGAATACATCAAACTCAAAAGCTTCTGCACAGCAAAAGAAACAACCACCAAAATGGAAAGGCAACCCACTGTATGGGAGAGCACAACTGCCAATGATACATCAGATAAGGGGTTAATTTCCAAAATATATAGAGTGCTCATACAGCTCAAGAAAAGGAAGACAAAGAACCCAATTAAAAATGGGCAGAGGAACTAAATAGACACCTCTCCAAACAGAACATACAAATGGCTAAGAGACATATGAAGAAATGCTCAACATCACTAATCATCAGAGAGATGCAAATTAAAACAACAATGAGGTATCACCTCACACCTGTCACAATGGCCGCCATCAACAAATCATCAAATAAGTGTTGGCGAGGGTGTGGAGAAAAGGGAACTCTAGTACACTGCTGGTGGGAATGCGGACTGGTGCAGCCACTATGGAAAACAATATGGTGTTATTTCAAAAAATTAAAAATTGAACTGCCATTTGACCCAGTGATCCCACTTCTAGGAATATACCTTAAGAAGCCTGAAACACCAATCAGAAAGAATATATGTACCCCCATGTTCGTAGCAGCACTATTTACAATAGCTCAGATCTGGAAGCAGCCCAAATGTCCATCAGTAGACGAATGGATAAAAAAGCCATGGTACATATACACAATGGAGTACTATGCAGTTGTAAGAAAGAAAGAGCTCTTATCCTTTGAGACGACATGGCTGGACCTGGAGAGTATTATCCTAAGCGAAACAAGCCAAGCAGAGAAAGATAAATATCTCAGAATATCACTCATTTGTGGAATATAATAAACATAAAAGTCTGAAGAACAGGGTAGACCCAGAGACGTGGAAGTAGGGTACAGACTGACAACCCTCACAAGAGGGTGAGGGGGTGAGGGAAGAGATAAACCACAGAACTTATATGCATGTATGCATAACCGATGGACATGGACAACAAAGCTGGGGATGGAGTGGTGGGGATGGGAGGAGGGTGTCAATGAGGAAAAAAGGAGAAACATCTGTAACAAAAATAAATAAATAAATAAATAAATAGAAATAAATAAAAAGTATGTTGGTTACCCCAGAACTTCTGTCTGTAAAAATCAGTGGGGATTGTGGCTGAGGGAGACAGAGGGTTTCTAGGGTCCCAGGCAGTTGCTCTTAAAGGTCCCATGCACAGACTTAGTCAGACTCATTCCTTCTGAGTTCCAGTGCTGGGGCAGCAGCTTGAAAGGAACCAGGTATACATGGGGAGAAACTAAATTGCCTGGCATCAAGGTGAGAGCTGGAGGCTAGGGGGCAGCTTTCTGCCTTTCAGAATTGCTGGCACAGGCCATTGTTCCTTTTCTGAGACACCCCCCCACACACACACAGAGCTGGAAGGTGGGTGTCATATCTGAGTCGCCATCAATCTGTCTCACACTGTTTACCTCACCTTGGTGATTCCCTAAGACTCCACCCTACCCAACTTTTAGGCCACCTGAGCTTTTCCAGTAGCTTTTTCATATGAATGGCCTGTCTTGCTTATGCTTCAGACTTTCCTAAAATCTCTCAAACAAGCAGCATTTGGCCTTTGCATACCCTGTACCACTTGCTAAGTCACCCTTGCCTGGCACTAGTGGCAGCCCGGTATTGGCTTATAGCTTGGCCTCTCCTGGACTTCTCTAAGCCCAGCACAAGTAACAGCCATTTACAGGTCACTCTGTAGCTCATGCTGGGTGGCCCCAAGTAGGGCACAGGCTGGAGCTGACTTTGCACCTCCCAGAAGTCCCCAGAGCCAGTGCACTCAGTGGACAGCTTCAGACCATGTTGAGTTACAATCCTACTATATGCACAAGCAACACACTCAATGGGTAGATTTGGTGAGCACCAAAATCCCACTGAAGCAAGTCATGTTCTGTAGGTTTGACTTCTACACAGCAGCTCCTCTGCTTTAGTAGCAGCAGGTTACCATTGGGGTCAATCCCACCCAGTGATGTGCCAACAGAAATAAAGGTCAAGTACAACAGGACAGTGCACACAGCCCACACAGGGGTGCACCTGGAGTGTTCAGCTCGAATGACTGTGTAGGCTACACCATTGGGTCCTACAGGCCACCTGCTACATAAGGCCACTCTACCAAGTCCAGGAGATGTGGCAGCTCTGCCTTATACACAGACACATATACAGGGAAGGAGCCAAAATGCAGAGACAAAGAAACATGTCCCACATGAAAGAAAAGAATA